TCTCTCATCTTTTTAAGTGGGAGAACTTGCACAATTGGTGGCTGACTAAATACTTTTTTGCCCCACTGTATAAATCTGAATTATACTAACAGTCCTAAAATCAAGCAAAAGGAAGTAGTATGGTTAAACTTAACACAAATAGCTTCTCTATATATTGCATGTCACAAAAGAAGGCAAACTCAGATACTTAAGAGTACGGTTTTTAAGGGAGAAATATCTGAGGTAAAACAGTAACCAAAAGCAATTTTAAAGTTTATAAATAATTTGATGTAATCAACAGTCAAGTACAATGGGATGGAATCTAGAACTTATTGTTTTTGCAGTTTTTAGTATTGTTCTTTTTTTTACAATATCATAGGCATTTTAGATAATGATAAATAGTGATGACATCAAAATAAATATTTAAAGTTTAGAGTTTAAGTGATTTACAATTATTTCTCAATACGATATAATGAGCCTGGTTTTATATATTCAATTAATTATTTAATCAATGCAGTGATGAATTTAAAATTTAATGACAACTGTAAATCTTTATTTATTGATGTTTTATTTTCCATCCACTATGTCCTTTTTCACTTGCTTTTTTCTTCTTTTATGTAGTCATTTATTTTATTCCTTAAATTTAAAAATACAGGAAAAAAACATAAAAGGAAAAAGTTCTCAGTGTAACAACCAGTTACCTTTTTCTTAAAAGCCAATGGATAAAACCCAGAGTTTCAGACAGCCTTCTCCAACATCATGCCCCCAGAAGTGCTACAATTTTATCCCAGGATGTCCCAAGGCAATGCAGTCACAGAGGCTATCTGGCTTTCTAAAGAAAACCTCTTTTCTCAACTCACTTTATTTAACTTATTCAATTTAAGCACCGCACAACTCCAGGCTGATCCTGGGCAGCTCACTATACTAATTTTTTTGCTTAGGAAGCTAGGAAGTTTCCATACAAAAGAGAATCTGTTTTGGCTTACAGTAATTATATGGTACAATGGGCAATGTGACATTTTCATAGTTCGCAGCATAGCTGATTTAAATGTTATCCTCTGTATACTACATAATATTGCAATGGAAGTTATCTTCATGCCCTGAACAATGGGAATAAAATAGTGATTATCTTCTTTATGGGATTAAGGAATAGAGATCACATTTAGGAATGGAGGAAAATTTGCAATATGGGTAAGAAGAAACAAAGTATTTCTATTATAGACAGTTTAGCCATATATACAAGGCTTAAAAAGGAATTACTGAGAGGCTACAGAAGTATTTTAACTTACTTTAATGGTATATCAGACAGACTTGTGCTAATTCAGATTTCTTTTTTAAGTATACAGTATGAGCGCACAGTAGTATGGTAAAGAGAGTAATTGTTGGGACTTTATCCAACTAATAATGTTTTTAGAAGAGTTGTATGGCTTCTACCAAATTATAATTGCTATAATCCTCATAAAAAGAAAAAAAAAGAATCTTATTACATTATTTCTGATAAGTCTTCAGACTAAAGCTAGGTGAATTTCTACTTAACCTGATGCACCAATCTACAAAAAAGTGGTCTTACTGTCACTGTTGGAGACTACTTGTGCTTTTATAAATAAACATAGTGAGTTATTGGCCCTATCAGTGTTCATAATCCACATACAGTGCATTCACAAAGTATTCAGACCCCCTTCACTTTTTTCAATTTTGTTATGTTGCAGGCTGATACTACATTCATTCAATTTCATTTTTTTTCTCATTAATCTACACTCAGTACTCCATAATGACAAAGTGAAAACAGAAT